AATATTGTCCTGCTTTCCCAAGGATTTTTATCACGTTTGGCGGACCAGGTGGTCCTGGAACCGGAGCAGAGGCTATAATTGGGGGCAATATTGGTGCTGGAGGAGAAGAAATAGTTGGTGGCAGTGAAGCTGGAGCAGAAGATTGAGTTGGTTGCATTGGAACCATAGAAGGTGCTTGAGCCAAATTGCAAGTGAATTGGAGTAAGAAGAAGAACAGTAAAAGAAAAGGTGCCACTAAGTTGTAAGTCATTTTCTCTCTTGATTTAGCTTAATTTGGAGTTGTCTGACTATGGAGGGAAGAAGGAGTATGTGCGACAGTTATATAGTAAGCTGGGGTGGATGTCTTGCTCTAAAACAATTAAGAAAAAAAAAGATATGATAATAGTTTTGGGGATAAAAGGATGTGGAGTATTGGGATGAAAGAAATAGTTAGGTGAAAAGGTGCAATTTCAGGTGAGTTTAGAATAATATGTTATGTACTGTTATAATGCAGCTGCTAGCTTGCTTATGAAGGGAAAAACAGCAGGGTAAATGAACTAATTCCTTTGTAGATGCCATTATATAGATCCGATTTATATGTATAGCCACGTCAATCATGTTCGTCCTTCCTCCAAAATATCTTTTTTTTCCTGGGAACATGGTCAATCAGAAATTATTGTATTCACGATTTTATATCCACCTATGGATAAAATGTTCTAGTTTTCCATCCTCATACTAGGCCGGACAGTGAATCGGCCATTCAGTTTATCTTGTGTGATTTGAGATGGGTAAAGTAGTTAGGTAAAAATATTTCAAGTTCTTTTTTTTTTGGCTTTATGCGTTTAGGGGCCTATTCACTCTACTAATCCATTTCGTATTGCGTGGAAGAGAGAATCTCTTCCTTCCAAGAGTATCTCCATTTACAGAGCTCGAACTTGAGATCTCTAGTTAAAGGTAAAAGATAACATCCATCCCACCAGACTCATTGGTGGTATATTTCAAGTTGCATATATGGAATCACAACATAGGTATATTAATACATTTAATAGTGCAAAAGTGATGAGATTTTCTTGATAGGAGAGCAAAATTTTTTATGTGTGTCTGAGATTGTTTCACCCCTAGTTCAAGATCACAAGACTTGCAAAATAAGTTTATTTGTTTTTCCTTACATGGGAAAAGACAACTTATTTTTAATCGTTCATAAGCAACATGACTTGAATCGACCTAGAGAAAAAACTCCATTTTCTTGAGCAGAGCTTTCCATGTGGTCAAACCCTTTTTATGTCTGTGACCTTCATTAGCCAGAAATCCGGCAGTCTGTTCTCTTTTGACCAGATGTATATAAATAGTAGCCTTCGTGGTTTCCAGCAAATTTTTACAATCTTCAATAATAGCCCTAAAGGGTGATAGTGCGTGTGCTCTTTGATAACTTGACAACAAGTAGACAGTTTATTTCCACCTCTAAGAAGCCAGGATAGAGCATTCCCCAGAACATGTGGGGAAGAAGAGAAGTGGCACACATTAACAGAGGAACAGTCCGAGGAAGGTTCGTCCTTTTTTGGCTTCGATGGCGCTGGAGCAGGTGCTGCCGTGCTGGTGGTAACGGTGGGACAAAGAATTGCAAAGGAAGCAGTACTTTATCCACTTGGTAAATAGCTAATTGATTGTCAGTGTAAATTGTGCTGGACACACTTGCATTCACAATCCCAGTTGTTATGTTCACTGCTGTCCCATTTGTGGTTATATTGATGGGGAATTCACGATCAGTGGTTCCACCGGCTTGTGTGTTTAAAGGGTTGCTAGCTGTTTGGAACTGTGACAGGGAGAAATATGAAGGGAGGATATGGAATTTAACCAATTCAGCTTTCCGCTGATCACTGAAAGAGTTGAGGGTGCCAGTTTTCAGGTTCAAGAAAGCACCATCCGATGGAATAAACATGGTTATGCTGTTGGAGTTATTTAGTAATGAGGTGATTTCGCCAACTTCTTGAGTGATTTGTAACAACTTGATGAACGTCGAATATGATCCAGCTTTCCCAATGATTTTTACCACATTTAATTTGGCGGACCAGGTGGTCCTGGAGCCGGAGCAGAGGCTACAATTGTGGGTAATACTGGGGCCGGAGGAGAAGAAATAGCTGGTGGCAATGGAAGCATAACAGGTGCTTGAGCCAAATTGCAAGTGAATTAGAGCAAGAAGAAGAACAACAAAGGTAAAGATGACACTAAGTTGTAAGTCATTTTTTTGTTTCTTGATTTAAGCTTAATTTGAAGTTGTCTGATGGAGGGAAAAGGAGAATCTGCACCAGTTATATAGCATGCTGGGGATGGATTTCTTTCTCTAAAATAATTAAGAAAACATAAAAAGATGTGATAAGAGGTTGAGGGTAAAAAGTTTGTGGGGTATTGGGATGAAATAAGAAGTTCGGTGAAAAGGTGCAATCTAAGGTGAGTTGAGAATAATATATTATGTACTGTTATAATGCAGCTGCTAGCTTGCTTATGAAGGGACAAAAAACAGCTGGGGAAATGAAGCAAATTCCTTTCTATACACCATTCATAGGGCTCGAACCCGAGATATCTGGTTAAAGGTTTTCAAGTTGCTTGTATACAATGGCTGCATAGGTTACAGGACAATCATAAGTGATTACTCATGGAATTGTGGGACAAGAGGCTAATTTAGTTGCAACTGCATTGGTCACAATCGAGAATATCTTGGTACAGCTGACAATAATGTAATGTAAGATAATGAATGATAATCCACCAAAATATTGGTAGTGCTATATGCTACTATTTTTTGCAATGTCAACCGTTATCAGCAGATGAGCTAAAATTTTCAGGAGGATGTGATAATTATACTGTGTTTTATCAATCTGGATTATCAAAAGCATCAATGTCACATTTTTCTGATTATACATAATAATTACGTTTCAATTCCAAACAAGTCAATATTGATTATACAAATTTGTATTGTCCATGTTGCTTCGTTTAAGTCAATCTCTTTTCACCTCTGGGATTCTAAATTTTTATTCAATAAAGTAATAACCTGTTATCTGCTACACAGCTACAAATGAAGCTGTTATAGGTCCAAACAAGGGAACGTTCGCCATATGAGTTTCTTAGTTGACCAACAAAAAAAAAAAAACTATGCTCAATCCCAAGCAAGTTGGAGTTTCTTAGTTAGGTATGAAGACAAAATCCATGGGAAGTCCAGTGCACAAAGCATCCACATTAGCAATGCCAAAAAGGGAATCCACTACCAGAAAACTCACCAAATCATTACCAGGAAATACTCCTTCAAAGTGGAATAAATAAACTTCCCTGCTCCAATGGATTTAAATCCTCCTTCTCCTTCTCATTACTGAACCTGTGCCGTCTTGTCCCTCCCCCTGTTCATATTGTCTACATTTCATCTCATGGATAAAAAAACTGCAAAGAGAGCTAAAAGATACTCAGACAAACAGCAGAAAGTCCAAAAGGCAACATTCTTTTCTCACCTCACTATGAAAGCAAAATAGTAACAAGGTACAAATGGGAAAGGGAAGTAACAGAGTGAAAAGAGTTAGAAGTATATTCAAGAAAAGAACATCTCATATTGCAAAATATATTAGAATATTGGCATACAGATTGAAGCAAACTGTAAAGTGACACAAGCATATCATGAGTTCTTTATCAAACTACACAACCTGAAGAGCTTAGGGCGGGCAAATAGCCAGAGATTTAATAGGTATAAAATAGTCATTTCAAATGGTAATGGAGATATCTCATAGCTAATATAATTATAAGATTACTCCCATGATGATGCAAAAAGTTGGAGCTACTAGGCATTTGGACTATTCTTGAAGAAATTTTTTGTGCAAAAAGAATAAGTGCATAGAGAGTTGCAGTTTTCTTAAGGGTTGCAAATGTTCTGTGAGATGAACTCCACTTAAATGTTTTTTCCAAAAGATTATAAGAAGATCTTAACCAAACAAGTCTCTGGCAAACAAAACCTCATGCTTCGTTTCTTTTGAAAGTTACAGACAGCTTCAGAAGGCAGACTATCGAAAACAAGTATGAGAAAGTCACATATATGGCCAGTTTATTGCTTGCCTGATAAATTACTTGGAACCCAATTCTCTGAATCAGCAGAGAGTGTTGGCAACTTTGACAAGTGTGCTTGGGTCTCGAAGTCAAGGAACAAAGACCATCGTCATACTAACCTATTAACAATTGGACTGGGTGCTGCATAGATATTGAGCCTCAGAAGCCAATCAGCCACAATGATGAGAGTTGCCAGTTGCCACAAGACATCTATAATCTATTCTTTCACCTCAGTATTAAAACACACTGCATATCTGAGAAGTCTTTTCCATCATCTAGTACAAGAAACACAGAGATGTGTTTCTTTTTCTTCTTCCTTGTGAGAATAACTGACACTAATATCACATGACTGTTGCACAAGAATGATCCAACTTCTAAACCACATCATGCTTTTGCTAAAAGCTTACACGCGGTATAGATTAAGATTAGAGCTAGGCCACTCGGTCAAAAAAATGCGACGTTACCTACAAAGTTGCCATCATCCACCACTTTTTTCTTCTGGTTCTTCCATTCTCAAGAGAATATTGTACTGGACAACAAAGAAAGTAACATAGCTTAGAGAAAAAATGTGTGAGCTAGCAAAATATATTTTGAACCAAGAGCCTCCAAAGTTTGAGATAATACACTAAGCAGTGGTTTTCTCATCAAGACTGCGTCAAAACAAAACTTATCTTTTAAGACCATAAAGTCCTCCAGATACTTACAGATATCATAGCCCTATCATCCTCCTGTAGATTAATGTGCTAAAATCATAAGAGGAATTCAAGCAGCTTAGATCTGACTATCTGAGCAGTGCCTTTGCTCTTTCTTGAATCTTTTGTAAATGTATAACAGATAATGTCGGACCATGTCTAAGGACAACATAAGATCTGCAATGACAAGCAACAAGCCAGGCACATTGAATCTCTGAGAGTGTCCTGCAATATATTCCTTTTATATAAAACATCTGGAGGATATATTGAACAATCTGTTATATCTCCAATTAGCTAAATTTGATTTACTTTTGATGTTTACGATTACAAGTTCCTAGAACAACTTCACATACTAAATAAACGTCAACCATGAAGACTGCCCACGAGAGCAGAATATGCGCTAGCATCAGGTGTAAGTCCTGCCTCTATCATCTCATCATATAATCTGAAGGCTTCATCTGATCTGCCCTCTTTCGATAAGCCAGAAATCATTGCTGTGTAAGTCACCACATTTGGAACTAAACCTTCTCGAGGCATCTCGTTGAAAAGTTTCAGAGCATCATCTACCTTTCCTGATATGCATTCCCCGTGTACAAGTGAGGTGTATGTATAGAGATCAGGTTTCAGGCCTTTACATTCCATAACATTCTTTAGCTTATATGCTTCCTTCATCATACCCTTCTTGCAATAACCATCTATCAGGGTATTGTACGTTGCCGTATTAGGCTTAACTCCCTTTGCTTCCATCTCACGAAGTGTCCTTTTTGCTTCAACAAAATTTCCTTCCTTAGAATAAATACTGATCAAAGTTGTATGAGCAACTTCGTTTGGAGCTACACCTCGATCCACCATTGAGAACAACCACGTCTTTGCTTCCTCGCACCGATCTAACTTACACAATCCAGTAGCAATTATGTTATAAACATATACATCAGATTCATACCCTTTGCCCTCCATAATTTTTTGCAGCCTCCATGCTTCATCTATATTACCTTGCTTACAGTAACCATCCATCATTGTATTAAATATAACTGGACCTATATCAATCCCCTTACTTTGCATCTCATTAAGTAAAACTTCAGCAGCTTGCATCTGTCCAGCCTTGCACAAGCAATTTATCAAAGCTCCATATGTGTGAGCATTCGGAACAAGACCCATCTCCACCATTTCATCAAACAATGAAAACGCTTTTTTGACGTTACCTAACTTACTACAACCACTAATCATAGAGGTGTATAAATGAACATCTGGCTCTATGCCTTTCCCTTCTATTTCCCTAAACAACCTCTCAACCTCTTTAAGATTGCCAATATTACAATACCCGTCAATCAGAAGAGTATAACTCGTCACATCAAGATCCAACCCCTCTTTCTCCATAGCCATCAAAATCTCCTTCAGAGCCACAAAATCTGGCTTCTTCATACAAGCATCTAATAATGTGTTGTAAGTGTACACATTTGGTTTCACCCCTTTACTAACCATTTCATCCATGAGTTTTCTTGCCTTGCTAACCTCTCCTACTTTACACAACCCGTCGATTACCATCGTCATAGAATACACCGTAATTCTCACATCAAATTCAACCATCATCTCGAAAAACTCAACCAGCGAGTCATACTGTTTTCGCCTTTTCATAGCAAGTAAGTAAACCATACAAGATCTATCATCTATTTCAAACCCACCATTCTTCATATACTCAAAAACCTCAAGAGCTTCCTTAAACCTCATACTATCAACATAAACCCTAAACAACATGTCAAACATCTTCCCCATAACTTTGTGTTCTACACGATTCGCACCCAAAAGAGAAGCTATTTCTGAAATTGGTTTCCTTAAACTATCATCCGAAGCAACAGTATACAATATACTTTTGGCTTCAGCAAACTTCCTGGCTTTAAACAAGCGCAAAAACAAGGCAATATGTGATTCAAGATTGGGTCTTTCGAAAGATTGATTTTTTTGGAGAAATTTGAAGAAACTTAAACAAGATTGTGTAGAGAAAGATGGGTTTGAAAAAACAAGATGGATTACTTGGGGATTAAGGTAGGAAGTTAGAGATGGGGGGATTTTCTTTGTAGAACTGAAATTTATCAGAGTATTGGAGATCAATTTAGCAATTTCTTCACTTGGTTTTTTGGAAAAAAGTTGTTTTGCAGTTTGGTAAAACTTTTGAGTCGACATTTGAGAATAAAGTTGAGATTTTTACAATGGAAGTTTTATGGGTTTGAAGAGATTACCGGAAGGATGACACTGATGACATGTTTTTCCGGTGACGGAGTCCAGTTCCCGGCGAGGTTTGTTTCTTCAGTAACTGGGGAAGACGGCGTCAGCTGAATTTAGCATTTTTGTAGTTTTGAAAGAGTCGAAATTTGGCCCAAATGCTTCTTGAAATATCCATTAAGTCCCTTTTTTAAAGTTGTGTTTTTGTTTTTGGGTTCCCACCCGATGTTTGTTATTCACATTGAATTCCGACTAAAATTAAAATTCACATCAGAAAGTTTCATATTGAGGATAAAAGGCTTCATAAATTCCACGGAAAGTTCCACATTGAGAATAAAACGTTCCCTAAGTTCCATAGAAACTAGAACCTGAAACTCTAATCAAGAATGAAGGTGTGTGTGATTAGTGATAACTCCTCTTCATTGACCCATTGATTCAAAAATGTCTTTTTTTATACAAGGCTTTCTCAGGGTGAAAAAAACAATTATCAAGTTTGGTTTTGTGTATTTTTAATTTTTATCATCTATTTTTCTTTTTATTTTGTTGATTTCAGAGCGAGAAAAAACAAATGTCATTATTTCACATCACATAATATTCCTAAATAAAAGCATAAGAATTTCCAAAACATACAACAATGTTTAATACATTCCCAAACAAAATAGTGCGGCTGCACCCTAGTTATACATTCCCTTCATTTTACAAACCCTTGTTGATTTTGAACTTTGTTCCCTTAGGAACTGAACTTTTCAAGGTAAAGTAACCAAGCAACATATCATTAGAATGTGGCATAAATGCAGTATTGTCATGCTCTACTTCCTCTTCAGTTCTTTCAACATTGTCTTCACCTTGTCGATGTTTTCATAGCTCAGCATCTTCATCAACACTTCTCTTTCAACAATCTCTTACAACTCGCCGTTCCACTCAACTGTAATTGAATCTTCTCTCTATACTCTATCTGAAAAAGTTAAGTGTATCAACAGACTGATACCAATTGTCTTCACAAATTCAGAAAGAGGAAAGTTGGTGACCAGAGTCTCTGTAAGGAAAGTGAGGAATGCAGAAGGAGAACTTCACAGTACTCCACTGATGATCGAGCACATCCAGCTAAAATGGTCCTTATATGAGTGCCAGAAAATGTCTTTGAAGGTACTGTAGACTGCATCAGAGGACATAATATATTCAGAATTTAATACGTCACAGCTGTAACGTACTAGAAAGGTGTAAAAGAGAGCATACCTATCAAAGTCATAAACATTCATGGTCACTCAGTTTATCTGTAATACAAATTTTTGAGAGGAGATATAGATTTAGATTTGCTCAATGTACATCAATCAAACAATATGAAAAAAGATACAAATAGTATAGTTATCTGGTGCTTCAATATTTGACAGATGAAACAACAGATTTCTAAACTCTGCAGACATGTAATAATTCCTTGGAGTGATGTATCAATAGATACAGGGATCATCCTAGTGCAATGTAGCCAACATAATCTAGTATATGCGCTATATCCTGATTAGTCAAGAACTTCAAAGAGATGGCCTGAACTTTGGACTTACTGGAGCAATTTAAACTGTGTAATAATCTCGATGAAAAGCTTCAAAGCAGCATCTGCTTTTCCTGATATGCATTCCCGATGTAATATAAGAGGTGTATGTATAGACATCTGGGACATCATGACAATCCTTAAACCTTCGTACCTTTCTTACAATAACCATCTGCAGGGCATTGTAAGTAATTGTGTTACTTTAACTCCCTTAGTATCCATCTCAAACCTTCTTTCATCGTACCTTTCTTACAATAACCATCTTCAGGGCATTGTAAGTAATTGCGTTAGGCTTAACTCCCTTATTTTCCATCTCAAGAAGTACCTTTATTGCTTTAGCAATATTTCCCACCTTGCAACAACCATCTATCAGGGCAGTGTACGTTACAGTGTTAGGCTTCACTCCCTTAGTTTCCATCTCAATAAGTATCTTTATTGCTTTAGCAATATTTCCCACCTTGCAACAACCATCTATCAGTGCAGTGTACGTTACCGTGTTAGGCTTAACTCCCTTAGTTTCCATCTCAATAAGTACCTTTTCAGCTTTAGCAGGATTTCGCACCTTGCAATAACCATCTATCAGGGCAGTGTACGTTACTGTGTTAGGCTTAACTCCCTTAGTTCCAATCTCACTAAATACAGTTTTTGCTTCAATGAAATCTCCCTGCTTGCAATAACCGTCTGTCAGGGCACAGGCACTGTTTGTTGTTGTGTTAGGCTTAACTCCCTCAGTTTCCATCACCCTAAGTATCCTTTTCGCGTCAACAATTTTTCCCAGCTTGCAATAACCATCTACCAGTGTAGTGTATGTTGCCGTGTTAGGCTTAAGTCCCTTAGTTTCCATCTCAATAAGTGCCCTTTTTGCTTCCACAAAATTTCCCTGCTTGCAATAAATATCAATCAAAGTTGTATAACTAACTGTATCTGGAGCTACACCTCGATCCACCATTGAGAGCAACACCATTTTTGCTTCATCATACAATTCTAGCTTACGCAGGCCCGTAGCAATTATATTGTAAGCATTTGCATCAGGCTGATGTCCTTCACCCTCCATAATTGTCTGTAGCCTCAGTGCTTCATCCACATTACCCTGCTTACAGTAACCATCCATCATTGTATTAAATATGACCCGGTCTATGCTAATGCGCTTGCCTTGCATCTCATTTAGCAAAACTTCAGCTCCTTGCATTAGTCCAGCCTTGCAGAAGCCATTTATCAAAGCTCCATATGTGTGACCATCAGGAATGAGGCCTCTCTCCACCATTTCAACAAACGTTGAAAATGCCTTCATAACATTACCTAACTTACTATAACCACTAATCATGGAGGTGCATAAATGAACATTTGGCTCTATACCCTTCTCTTCTATTTCCTTAAACAACCTCTCAACCTCTACAAGATCGCCAAAAGTTGAATATCCTTTAATCAGAAGTGTATAACTAGTCATATTGAGATCAAAACCATCCTTCTCCATTTTCCTCAAAACCTCCATTACAGCCACAAAATCTTGTATCTTCATATATGCTTGTAACAATATGTTATACGTGTAATCACTTGGTTTCACCCCTTTACTAGCCATTTCATCCACGAGCTTTCTAGCCTCACAAACCTCCCCCATTTTACACAATCCGTCAACTACCACCGTCATCGAATAAACTGTAATTTTCACATTAAACTCAACCATCTTATGGAAAAACTCGAACAGCGAGTCATATTGCCTTTGCCTTTTCATAGCAAGCAAGTAAGCCATACAAGCTCTATCATCAATTCTAAAGCACCCTTTTTTCATATAATCAAAAACTTGTAGAGCTTCATTAAACCTCATGTTATTAACATAAACACTAAATAACATATTAAACATCTTCCCCATAACCTTACGCTTTACATGATTCTCACTCAACAAAGAAGCTAATTTTGAAACTGGTTTCCTCAAACCATCAGTAACAACAACAGCATTCAATATATTCTCGGCTTCAGCAAACTCCTTGGATTTTAACAAGTCCACAACCAAGGCTAAATGGGTTTCAAGATTGGGACTTTGCTTGAAATTGAAGAAATTTGAGCAAGAAGAAGGGGAAGGGGAAGGGGGAAAGAGGGAGATTAATTTGGCAATTTCTTTAATGGGTCTCTTGGGAAAACGTTGTTTTACCCGTTGGTAAAACTTTTGAGTCGACATGTGAAGAACAACTCAATACCTATAAACTTGAGCACTGCAATTTGAAATTTTCATTTCTGAACTTTAGAAATAAAGGTTACCTCTTAACACAAGTGCAGATGCCATGTTTTCCGGCGAGTTTCGGCGAGTTCCCGGCGAGCTCAGCAAATTAATAAAACTATAGTGTTAAGCTTTTTAAGAGAAGTTGGAGAAGACGGCGTAAAGAACTTTGATTGAAGTACAAATGAGTCCTCATAAATGTGTACAAATTGACCCTCTATACTTTTAAGAAGTTACACTTAGTCCTCATATTTGACGTTTTGCTACTAATTTGGTGCAATTATTCCTCTCCAATCTCCATCAACTCAATTTCAAATTTTACACCTCGTGGAACTTAAATTTGTCATTGAATTTTATTTAGACATTTAAATTATAATTTCTTCTAATTAAAAATTTGAACACATAATAAACGGATAAAGTATTCTTAATAAGCACTTTCTATTCATAATTGAGTTGATTTCTCATATTGTTATTCAATTAATAGTTATTATCTCATAAAGTCACTTTTTTTTTGTTGAAAATAAATGGAATTAAAAAAAAATTGAGATAAGTATTAGTTAAATGACCATGTGGAACGAACACTTCATATTTTGGAAAAGTTTATGTATGTGAGAGTTTATCACATAAATAAATTAATTTCATTAAATATATCACCTCTTTTTATCATACACATAAGCATCAATTGGAACATATACAAGGTATGATAGCTTATTAAGGCTAATGTATGTAACTAAAGGAGGTGATATATTTTAAATAGTAAACTTATTTATTATAATGAACGCTTGAGAATACGCACAAAAACTTCTTAATTTTTATTTAATTAAAAGTGTCTAGTAAAAACACTTTATCTTTAATAGGAAGACATTTAATTGAATTTTACATGAAATATTTTTCTTTAACCATTATAGTATCTTAAAAGTATTATCTCTTTCTAACATTGAAATCTTTGGAATTGTGTTAGAGTGGTAAGTACTCTTTCATCCTTAACCAAGAGGTCTCGGGTTCGAGTCGCCTTTGTTAGGAAGCAGTTTATCCTAATGTGGGACTTCCCGGCGCGAATACGGATTTAGTTGACCATTCCAATGTTTCAAAATCCATTCAAGTTTAGGTGATACAATAAAAAAGGCCAAAACTAAAAATACAAGAAATACAATTCATTATATTTAATTAAGTTACTAATCCATGATTTCCTCATACCACAGCTTGGCCTTACCTCACAATACAACACAAGGATAAAACACTTTACCCTTTGCAAAAGGAGGGTTAGGAGACTAATATCTACAAGTTAACCCCCGCAATAAGACACTAATCTATATTAAGCTAGCAAAAAAGTTTGTCTCATATTTCAATCTAATTGATGGCATTTGACCTTTATCCAAATAGAAAGGCCCTTTTGCCCTTGCTGGAAGATGTTGAAAGGAGGCAAAAGAAGAATTTTTTTGACTGTTCATAGCCAGTTTTACCAGGTGATCCACTACATCGCTAGCCTCTCTAAAGTAGTGAGTTGCTTTAACATTAGCTTATTTCATTCTTTGTTGTATCTCCTCAATGATGAAATTCAGCATGTAGTTGGATTACTGGTTGTTCACAATCATAGGAAATAGGTTCAAAGAGTCTGTCTCTTTGGTGAAATTCTTCAGATTTTTCAAAATGCAGAGGCTCTTAGTCCATAACTGGCGGCCTTAGCTTCTGCTTCTGTGATGCTGCTACCACTCGAAGGTGAGGAGAAAGCGAAGATGAGATTGCCTCTATCATCCCTCAAAACTCCCCTCATACCAGATTTTCCACTAGCTGGGCAGTAGCTTCCGTCAGTTTTCAATTTAAGGACGCCATTTTCAGGGAACTTCCAGCATACAATAGAAAGGTTTGAGGAAGGTTTCAGCTTCACAATTTTTTCACAAAGAGTGATCCAAAGTTATGTCGAACCAACTTTTGGATAAGCTTTAGCAATTGTACTCTGAATGCTGCACCCAATGTGTTGGATCATCATATATCTGTTGAGATTCCTTAAGCCTCCATAATTACTACACTCGGACTTTTGTTTCTAAATCTCCAAGCAGATAAGGCCTGGTATAGTTTGAAGAACTAGCTTGTCGATGGAGTTATTTGAATTTTTATTCCACCAGTTGTAAGTTCTGATTGCCAGTGGCCCTCCAAAGTGCTTCCACACATATTGAGCTGCCTCTCCATGAAGAAAAACATGTTGCATTTGATTTTCATTTTAGGAAGAGAGCACCAGTTGCATAGAGTATCCTTCAGAATACCAAATCTGCTAATGACTTCGTCAAAGGAAAGTTTTCACTGCCAGAATTTCCAAACGAAAAATGAAATCTTAAAAGGAATGTTGGAGTTCCATACCTGATCAATATTGTGGGCTGTTGGAATATTTCCCATCTTCTGTGAGGTCCCAAAAGACCTTGTCTTGAGTGTCATACTTGCCAATTCCAATGGTCTTGATATGCTGAATTGTGCTATCTCATAGGATGTTCTGCATCTTTGCATTGTCCCAAGTTCCATTGGTAATGAAATGTCTTACTAGAGTCTCGGTATTCTTCTCTGTTTCATGGTAATCATTGGCTAGAGGACCTTTGCTACTCCAGTTGTCCCGCCAAAAACTACAATTTCCAGAAGGGTAGTAATCAGAAAAGAAAATTGTGGAGATAGTATAGACCAAGTATTGGTGTTGTCAAAGACTCAGAAGCGAGGTGCAAAACAGTTCGAGTGCTTCACCCTCACTTAGTTGGCACTTCAGTGCAGCCACAAAGGTACTAAAGCATACACCTTATCACCAATGGGCTTTATCCTAAAGAGACGACACTAAACAATGACTTACACGTAAATTTCTAAATTCTTTTATCCTTACTATAATTTTTATTTGTACTTACAATTATTATTCGTAAATTACATTCGTTTCATTTTACTTTATCCTTCATTTCCACATTTCCAACTAAAGTCCATGCTTTCACTGTCCTTTGCGTTTAAAGGCTAAGTCCCACCAAAGCTTAAGTTTTTTCCCTTCGATAACACTCTCAAATATATCAAAAATACTAACTATGCAGAATTTTCTCTTCTATATCCAACAAGCAATGGCTCTTAACCTTCATATTTTCAACATGCAACTGATATCAAGTTACAACTTACAAGTATGGGGTCTACACCTATATACTGCACATGAAGACTTCTCTTTTCAACAAGCACAAGATATGGTCCTTACTTTTAATCCTTTTGACATGCACATGTACATATTAGAATACAAACTCTAGACATAATAGAAGCATTCTACAACAATAAAATATACAAAAGCACACGTACAATGGCTAATGGTTTAACTCAGTGAATTCCAGTTTAATTAAAAAACAATCTGCTATATATACTTCTGACTGGCTAAATCTAATCCAAATAAAGTTCACGATGTACAAGTTTATAGAGAAGAATTTCTCACACTAAGTGTAGAGTATACAGCAGCATCGGGTATTACGCCTGCCTCTATCATCTGATTGTATAATCGGAGGGCTTCACCTGATCTGCCTTCTTTTGATAAGCCAGAAATCATTGCTGTATAAGTCACAACATTCGGAACTAAACCCTTTGTAGGCATCTCATTGAAAAGCTTCAGAGCATCATCTACCTTTCCTGATTTGCATTCCCCATGTACAAGTGAGGTGTATGTATAGACGTTAGCCACCAAGTCCTTAGATTCCATGACAATTCTTAGCTTATAAGCTTCATTCATCATACCTTTCTGGCAATAACCATCTATCAGTGCAGTGTATGTATTGGTGTTAGGCTTAACTCCGTTACTCTCCATCTCAATAAGTATCCTTTTAGCTTTAACAAAATCTCCTTGCTTGGAATAACCATCTATCAATGCAGTATATGTTGTTGTGTTAGGCTTAACTCCTTCAGTTTCCATCACCCTAAGTATCCTTTGTGCGTCAACAATTTTTCCCAGCTTGCAATAATCATCTACCAGTGTAGTGTACGTTCCCGTGCTAGGCTTAATTCCCTTAGTTTCCATCTCAATAAGTGCCCTTTTTGCTTCCACAAAATTTCCCTGCTTGCAATAAATATCGATCAAAGTTGTATAACTAATTGTATCTGGAGCTACACCTTGATCCACCATTGAGAGCAACAACATTTTTGCTTCATCATACAATTCTAGCTTACGCAGGCCTGTAGTAATTATATTGTAAGCATTTGCATCAGGCTGATGTCCTTCACCCTCCATAATTGTCTGTAGCCTTAGTGCTTCATCCACATTACCTTGCTTACAGTAACCATCCATCATCGTATTAAATATGACCTGGTCTATGCTAATGCCCTTGCCTTGCATTTCATTTAGCAAAACTTCAGCTCCTTGCATTAGTCCAGCCTTGCAGAAGCCATTTATCAAAGCTCCATATGTGTGACCATCAGGAATGAGGCCTCTCTCCACCATTTCAACAAACATTGAAAATGCCTTCATAACATTACCTAACTTACTATAACCACTAATCATGGAGGTGCATAAATGAACATTTGGCTCTATACCCTTCTCTTCTATTTCCTTAAACAACCTCTCAACCTCTACAAGATCGCCAAAAGTTGAATATCCTTTAATCAGAAGTGTATAACTAGTCATATTGAGATCAAAACCATCCTTCTCCATTTTCCTCAAAACCTCCATTACAGCCACAAAATCTTGTATCTTCATATATGCTTGTAACAATATGTTATACGTGTAATCACTTGGCTTCACCCCTTTACTAGCCATTTCATCCACGAGCTTTCTAGCCTCACAAACCTCCCCCATTTTACACAATCCGTCAACTACCACCGTCATCGAATAAACTGTAATTTTCACATTAAACTCAACCATCTTATGGAAAAACTCGAACAACGAGTCATATTGCCTTTGCCTTTTCATAGCAAGCAAGTAAGCCATACAAGCTCTATCATCAATTCTAAAGCACCCTTTTTTCATATAATCAAAAACTTGTAGAGCTTCATTAAACCTCATGTTATTAACATAAACACTAAATAACATATTAAACATCTTCCCCATAACCTTACGCTTAACATGATTCTCACTCAACAAAGAAGCTATTTTTGAAACTGGTTTCCTCATACCATCAGTAACAACAACAGCATTCAATTTATTCTCGGCTTCAGCAAACTCCTTAGATTTTAACAAGTCTACAACCACGGCTAAATGGGTTTCAAGATTGGGACTTTGCTTGAATGTGAAGAAATTTGAGCAAGAAGAAGAGGAAGGGGGAAAGAGGGAGATTAATTTGGCAATTTCTTTAATGGGTCTATCGGGAAAACGTTGTATTATCGGTTGGTAAAACTTTTGAGTCGACATGTGAAGAATAATTCAATACCTATAAACTTGAACAGTGCAATTTGAAATTTTCATTTCTGAACTTCAGAAATATAGGTTACCTCTATTAACGCAACTGGACATACCCTATTTTCCGTCGAGCTGGAGATACCCTGTTTTCCGGCGAGCTGGGCGAGTTAATAAAATTGTAATTTGAAGCTTTTAAGAGAACTTGGAGAAGACGGCTGTGAAGAATTTTGATTGAATTACAAATGAGGTCTCATAAAAGGTATACAAATTGTCCTTCTACACTTTTAAGAAGTTACATTTAGTCCTCATATTTGACGTTTTGCTACTAGTTTGGTCCAAATATTCCTCTCCGTCAACTCAATTTCAAATTTAGCACCTCGTGCAACTAAAATTTGTCATTGTTTTATTTAGACATTTAAATTATAATTTATTTTAATTAAAAATTTGAACACATGATAAACGGATAAAATATTCTTAATAAGCACTTTCTATTCATAATAGAGTTGATTTGATTGTTACTTAATTAATACGTTATTATCTCGTAAAGTCACTTTTTTCTTTGTTGAAGATAAATGATTTTTTTTTTAAAAAAGATTTTTTTAAGATAATAAATTAAATGACCCTGTGAAATAAACCCTTTGATATTTTGGAAAAGTGTATGTATGTGTTCATAAGAGTCTATCACATAAATAAATTAATTACATTAAATATATCTCCTCTTTTTATTATTATACACATAAGCATCAAATGGAACTTATACAAGGTGTTGTAGGCACAAAAACTCGTTAATTTTATTTAATTAAAAGTGTAGTAAAAACACTTTATCTTTAACATGAAGGCATTTCATTGAATTTTACATTATATTATCTCGAAAATATTATCTCTTTCTTACATTGAAATATTTGGAATATGCATATTTATTCACGACATATATAAGATTAACATTTAATTATACAAATAGAAAGGCCCCTTTTGCCCTTGCTGGAAGATGTTGAAAGGAGGAAGAATTTTTTTTTTGACTATTCATAGCCAGTTTTACCAGATGATCCGCTACTTCGTTAGCCTCTCTAAAGTAGTGAGTTGCTTTAACATTAGCTTGTTTCATTCTTTGTTGTATCTCCTCAATAATGAAGTTCAGCTTGTAGTTGGATTGCTGGTTGTTCACAATCATCGGAAATAGGATCAAAGAGTCCGTCTCTTTGGTGAAGTTCTTCAGAATTTTCAGAGTCCATAACTGGCAGCCTTAGCTTCTGCTTATGTGCTGCTGCAACAACTCGAAGCTGAGGAGAAAACCAAGATGAGATTGCCTCTATCATCCCTCAAAACTCCCACCATACCAGATTTTCCACTAGCTGGGCAGTAGCTTCCGTCAGTTTTCAATTTAAGGACGCCATTTTCAGGGAACTTCCAGCATACAATAGAAAGGTTTGAGGAAGGTTTCAGCTTCACAAGGAGTGATCCAAAGTAATGTCAAACCAACTTTTGGATAAGCTTTAGCAATTGTACTCTGAATGCTGCAGCCAATGTGTTGGATCATCATATATCTGTTGAAATTCCTTAAGCCTCCATAATTACTACACTTGGACCTTTGTTTCAAAATCTCCAAACAGATAAGGCCTGGTATAGTTTGAAGAACTAGCTTGTCGATGGAGTTATTTGATTTTTGATTCCACCAGTTGTAAGTTCTGCTTGCCAGTGGCCCTCCAAAGTGCTTCCACACATATTGAGCTGCCTCTCCATGAAGAAAAACATGTTGCATTTGATTTTCATTTTAGGAAGAGAGCACCAGTTGCATAGAGTATCCTTCAGAATACCAAATCTGCTAATGACTTCGTCAAAGGAAAGTTTTCACTGCCAGAATTTCCAAACGAAAAATGAAATCTTAAAGGGAATGTTGGAGTTCCATACCTGATCAATATTGTGGTCTGTTGGAATATTTCCCATCTTCTGTGAGGTACCAAAAGACCTTGTCTGTCATACTTGCCAATTCCAATGGTCTTGATATGCTGAATTGTGCTATCTCATAGGATGTTCTGCATCTTTGCATTGTCCCAAGTTCCATTAGTAATGAAATGTCTTACTAGAGTCTCGGTACTCTTCTCTGTTTCATGGTAATCATTGGCTAGAGGACCTTTGCAACTCCAGTTGTCCTGCCAAAAACTACAATTTCCAAAAGGGTAGTAATCAGAAAAGAAGATTGTGGAGATAGTATAAACGAAGTATTAGTGTTATCAAAAACTCAGAAGCGAGGTGCAAAACAGGTTGAGTGCTTCATCCTCACTTAGTTGACAGTTTAGTGCAGCCACAAAGGTACTAAAGCATACACCTTATCACCAATGGGCTTTATCCTAAGGCTAAACAATAAGTTAATTGTAAAATTTTAATTCTTTTATCCTTACTAAAATTTTCATTTGTACTCATAATTATTATTCTTAAATCACATTCAGCTTATTTTAGTTTATCCTTCATTGCACCCTTTCCACTAAAGTTCATGCTTTAATTGTCCTTTGCGTTTAAAGGCTCAAGTCCTACCAAAGCTTAAGCATTTTGTCTTCGATAACACTCCCGAGTATATCCGAAGTACTAACCATGCATAATTTTTTCTTCTATATGCAACAAGCAACGGCTCTTGACCTTCATATTTTCAACATGCAACTGATATCAAGTTACAACTTACAAGTATGGGGTCTACACCTATATACTGCACATGAAGACTTCAACAAGGACAAGATATGGTCCTTACTTTTAAGTTTTAATCCTTTTGACATGCACATGTACATACTAGAATACAAACTCTAGACATGGCAGAAGATATTACAGCAAGAACATATACACAAGGACATGTACAATATCTAATGGTTCAACTTAGTGAATTCCAGTTTAATAAAAAACAATCTGCTATATATACTTCTGACTGGCTAAATCTAATCCAAATGAAGTTCATGATGTACAAGTTTATAGAGAAGAATTTCTCACACTAAGTGCAGAGCATGCAGCAGCATCGGGTATTACGCCTGCCTCTATCATCTGATTGTATAATCGGAGGGCTTCACCTGATCTGCCTTCTTTTGATAAGCCAGAAATCACTGCTGTGTAAGTCACAACATTCGGAACTAAACCCTTTGTAGGCATCTCGTTGAAAAACTTCAGAGCACCATCAACATTTCCTGATTTGCATTCCCCGTGTACAAGTGAGGTGTATGTATAGACGTTAGGTATCAAGTCCTTAGATTCCATGACAATTCTTAGCTTATAAGCTTCATTCATCATACCTTTCTGGCAATAACCATCTATTAGTGCAGTGTATGTATTGGTGTTAGGCTTAACTCCAGTACTTTCCATCTCAATAAGTGTCCTTTTAGCTTTAACAAAATCTCCTTGCTTACAATAACCATCTATCAGCGCAGTGTATGTTGTCGTGTTAGGCTTAACTCCTTTAGTTTCCATCTCAATAAATGCCCTTTTTGCTTCAATATAATTTCCGTGCTTGAAATAACCATCTATCAGGGCGTTGTACGTTCCCGTGCTAGGCTTAATTCCCTTAGTTTCCATCTCACTAAGTATCCTTTTTGCTTCAAAAAAATAACCCTGCTTGCAGTAAATATCAATCAAAGACGTATAAGACAATACATTTGGAGCTACACCTCGATCCACCATCGAGAGCAACAACCTCTTTGCCTCGTCATGCAAATCTAGCTTACGCAGGCCAGTAGCAATTATATTGTAAGCATTTGCATCAGGCTCATGTCCTTCATCCTCCATAATTCTCTGTAACCTCAACGCTTCATCCACATTACCCTGCTTACAATAACCATCCATCATCGTATTAAATATAGCTCGATTAATCCAAATTCCCTTGCTTTGCATCTCGTTAACCAGAACTTCAGCTTCTTGCATTAGTCCAGCCTTGCACAACCCATTTATCAAAGCCCCATATGCGTGACCATCAGGAACAAGTCCTCTCTCAGTCATTTCGTCGAACACTTGATATGCCTTTCTAACATTACCTAACTTACAATAACCACTAATCATAGATGTGTATAAATGAACATCTGGCTTTACACCCTTCTCTTCAATTTCCATAAATAATCTCTTCATTTCTCCAAATTCTCCAAAAGTTGAATAACGTTTAATCAGAAGTGTATAACTTTTCGGGTCGAAATCCCATCCTTCCTTCTCCATTGTCCTCAAAATTACCTTCACAATAAAATAATCTGGTTTCTTTATATATGTATTTAATAGTTTTTTATAAGTGCAATTATTTGGTTTCACAAATTTTCCATCCATGAACTTTCTTGCCTTATGAAACTCCCCCATTTTACACAATTCATCAGTTACCATTGTCATCGAATAAACTGTAAATTTCACTTCAAACTTAACCATCTGCCGGAAAAAACTCGAACAATGAAGCATATCGTTTTTGCCTTTTCATAGCAAATACACCATATGAACTCCATTAATCATTTATTTCAATGGTTATCGGAGGAAATAAGTCACCGGCAAAAAGAAGCCAAATACATGTTTTCCGGCGACAGTGACTGATTTCCGACGGGGAGAAAAGTGTAATTTGGAGTTCCTCAGGACTTGGGGAAATATGGGTGAAATGAATTTTTAGCCCTTGTATGGTTTTGAAGGAGTTAAAATTGGCCCCATATACTTTTAAAAGATTCAATTAAGTCCTCATATTTGACACTTATGTTGCAAAAGGAAGTCCTTTTAACTACTCTACTCACTTTTAGTCCATCATTTGTGTAATTATCCCATTTCATCAACTCAATTTTAATCTCATATATGCAGTTGAAAACAGTTTCAAATAATATGGTAGTATTTATTTAGTCCTCTAATTCAGTTTCAATTTGTCTATCCTACTTCCATTTTTAATTCATAGAAAACAATTTACCTTTTTCTTAGTCTTTTATTCCATTAGATGATTCTTTTTAGACATGGTAAGGACAAACAAGAAAGAGTATACATAATTCAATGGAATATTTACTCATACAACAAGTGAAGTAACCTTCAGTCTTGGAATCATTATATTGTTAGCATCAATTTTGTAACAATCAAGTAAATTTCATAAAACTATTACAACAACAATAATAACATATTCAGTGTATGTAATATCACAAGTGAGATCTAAAGTTGATGTATACGCAAACATTATCTATATCTTGTAAAGACATAGAAACTGTTTCTGAAAGACCCTCGACTTAATATATGTACACACCTCAAGAAACAAAATGAATTAAGCCAAGAATTGAAAACCTATTTAACTTTTTGTTGTTCTCCATGAACTTGAAGTTGTTTGTGCAAACATCATTTAGTGGCTGATGCTGATGATGATCAGGAGGCTCTGCAAGAACTTGAACTTTGACAATAGATCCATCTTTGATATTATAAACAGATAAAAATTGATCACTTTTCATTTCTTTAGACTTGTGATAAAGTCTCATGTATTCATCTCCCCATACCTTTTTGATTATTTTCATCAATTCTCTTACACTACTTTTTTCTCTAACTTGAGCATAGAATTCTGATGTTGGAGACTCAAATTTGATCTTCATGATTCTTGGTTCTCTAGCCATTGTTTGTACAAAATAGGGGAAGGAAGAAATTGAAGATTTAAATAATATAAAGTTGTCTTGGAATGTTGAGAGGATATAGCAATGTTATTGAGTATACTATATATAAGCTTTTGGGATGGGATATTGGTACTTTGCTTAATGGGATAAAAAGATAATAATCTCTTTTTATTTAAGATTAATTTTTTCTCATTTTTAATATGAGGTGTTAATTAATCACGGAATTGTTTTATCTAATATAGAAGATAAGTTAAAGTAATATCTTATGAAATATCTCAACTCAAGAGATATCCTTGATTACTTCATCTCACGTACCAAACGATCCGTCAAAGGTTTAATTTTGTAACCATTAATGTTTCTTAATAGGCAAAAAATGTATAGTGTTCACGTGAATATATATCTATCCAAATATATATTTTATATCCCAGTTTTTGACGGTACATTTGAGAGAGATGGTCAGGATTTTAAGTCTAATATTTTTTAGATTTTTGATAGACTATTTATACATATCAAGTGATTTTTTTAATATAAATATGAAATTCTTAAGTTAAAGCTATTGAGTTCTGTCAAATTTTTATATATATAATTTTAATCACCAATATCGAGGTTGAGTTGATAGAATGAAAGAACCCATTATAAAAAATGGTTCCCTTTTTATTAAGCCATATGCGATATAAATCTAATTTAATCGAATTCTTTAGGTACCAAATACCACATGATGGCTAGGAGAAAATAATACTTTAAAGCCTTGTAAACAAAGAATAAGTATGTAAATTGACAAAAATGTTTAATATTTTTGTACTTTATATTCCTTTCTTTGCACTTAAGGCAACGACTTTTTTTAAGGGGTTGGGGTATTGGTAGCAAACTTAATTGGATTGGATTGGAGAGAACAAAGCATTATATACATTTTAGTCAATAACAATGCACAGACTCTTTTGATTATGACATATAAAAAAAACATAATAAATAAATATCATTTTAAATTTAACATATTTTATTTAGATTTATCTTAATTACTAATTTCTTGAACTTGAATATTTAATATTAACATTTATCCTTGTAACTATGAATAGTTTTAATTCATAACAAAAACGATTTCATATTGAAGCTTTGTGCAAACCTAAATTTTCTTAGTTGGTAGTTTGCAAGTTGTTGGCTGCTGGTTTGGCTACATAGAATGAGAAGACTAGTAGTATAAATTTTAAGATATTTGTTTATACAAACTTAAATTTGTTAGGTGTGTGTGATAATTAGTTTGACTAGTTTGGACAAATTCTTCTTCAAACGCGGCAACACGCACACAACTCTAAAAGTTTGTTAGGATAAATATAGACATTTTTGAACTAATCTGAGTTTCTTCAAAAAATTAGATTTTAATCTAAAACTTTACAGGGTAAAAATCTATATCTTTATTTTCATTTCATTAATTGTTTATTATAGCTTTGTTAAAACTAACCTGCAAGTAGGGGTGTACATGACCGGGTTGGTTCGAGTTTTTTAAATATCAAATCAAATCATTTGTGTAAAAAATTTAAATTTATAAACCAAACCAAACTAATAAAATTCGGATTTTTTCGGGTTTTTCAACCTCGGGTTGGTTAGGGTTTTACAAATACCAAACCAAACCATTGTGTCGAATTTTTTAATTTATAAATCAAACCGAACTAATAAACCTCGAATTTTTTCGGTAAAGTTTGCATACAAACATATAATTAACTTGTGCTCTAAATATTTCTTTAGTCCAACCAAAATACAATTATCTAACGTGTTTCTTAAAAAAATAACACAAAATATGAGATGAGTACTGATGCACAAAAATATTCAATAAAAAATAATAATGAAATCATCATATAAAATAAGTATTGCAAAGTCATAATGGAAATGATCATAATTTAAAAGTATTAAATCATGCTAAAATAAGTTAGTATTAGTTACATTACTAAATATTTAAGGAAAATTAAAATTAGATTATGTATTTTAATTGTCTAAACCAATGTAAAACTAAAGAACAAATATTCAATATTATGGTCATTCTTAGTGTTGAATTGATTTTCTATTTGCATTAGTATTAATTTGATTTTGATTTAAGTTTTATTATAATTATTAACATCTATGAACTATAATCTTTATTGGACCATTCCGAATTCTAAGTTTTAAACTTGAAATAATATATTAAAAGATAAAAACTATGAAATATTATAAGAAATATTTTAAAATTATCTCAAAGTAAACATTATTATGTATAAAATAAAATTTTAAAATTACATATATAATGTCGGGTTGATTTGGTCTCGGGTTGTTTTTTTTTAGTTAAAACCAAACCAAACCAACCCAAATATAATCGGGTTTCTTTTTCCAATACCAAACCAAGTCAAACCAAACCACTAGTTTCGATTTGACTTGATTTACGATTTGGTTAGATTTAATTTTGTACACCAAGTAAATCGACTGGTACATAGTGATAGTCGATTACAAGTCTACAAAAAAATTTCAATTCATCCCCCTTCTTAAGTTTCAGTAAGTGGTCCCCCTTAGATATTATGTAAATTATATATGTTCTTCTACTCATGAATGCATCCTCGATAATCCACATCTTTAATACTCTATCAAACTAGTCGGGGCAAAAAATCAATTTCAACAAATCCTCCATCATTTTTTTGTCTAATGTTAGTTCTGATGTGAGGAATGAATTATCTATTATGATGAATATCCGCCAATCAGAAAGAATAGGTAAATATCGATCGAGGCTTACCCATTACAAAGCATCATCCGAAGAGCCAAGACTACCAATACATTATAGACCACCTAAATAAAAAAACTTAGTGGGTAGAAAACACGATCCCTTTCCCTCATTAAAGCAGTCCTAGCCATCATCCCAACTTATGCAATGCATATCCAACTTAATTCCCCAAGCTATTATATATTAACCATATAGACCGCATCTAGAGAAACTTCATTTGGGGTTCAATACCAGACAAGAGGAAGCTCCACTTAGTAAATTGCACCACCGCGAAGAATCAAAGGTTGTCTAGGCCTCAAAAACACGAGTGGTGCTAATTTCTCACTTCTAGCCAGCTTGCACTGGAGATTTTTTTTAAGTAACAAAGACAGTTTGTGGGTTAAAGTGCTTTCAGAAAAATATATCAATAGGATAAATAAAGCCTTTACTAACAAAGTTCACTCCTACGACTCATATATCTGGAAAAGCCATACCAACTATTCCATAAAGGTATCTCTTGGAACATAGGTGATGGAACCAAAATTTGGAATGAAAGATGGATCGAAGGGACTCACACTCTACGAGAAACTATCCATGGACCCCTTAATAAATTAGATATAGAGCTTGTAGTGATGGATGTAAAGAGAAACAAATTTTGGGATTTATCCAGAATCTCCTTCGAACTTCATTCCCATATAAGATCCTCCATTCACAATACTTACACTCACCTATATATGCCTGGAAAAAATTTGGATAACTTTAGACAACAATGATTTTTATAACAACATCTACAGTTTGTGCCATTCCAAAGCACTGTCCATAACCTGGAACAATCACGTGGTTCATACTTTCATACTCACACCAATTATTCTTTGGAATATTTGGAAACCGAGAAATAATAAGTTTTTCAAACGTCAACCCTCAAATGATGTCAACAGAATTATGCACACCAGGGGCGGAGGTAGCATATGCTTAGGGATTCATCTGTGGAAAACATTACTATTTATACATGGTTAAAATTAATTTTTACATATGTATAATAGATGTCGAACCCCCTTCCACTAGTTCGTGTGCTTATTTCTCAAATTTTGAACCCCCTTATTAAAAATCCTGGCTCCGCCACTGATGCACACAATCCTCTTCCAAGCCCTTGAACTTTAGCATATCGCTTACACTACTGGGGAAAATCACCCAAAAAAAAAAAACAGAATTCCTATCACATGGCAGAAACCACCTGACGACCACTTCAAACTAAAC